GGGACTAGGCCACGCCTGTTTTCTGTTAGTCTGCACCTTGTCGACGATACGGTGCTCGCTCGATGGCTTTTCACTCCTTTATCAAAGCTTTATGCCGCTTCCATAGTTGGCGAATCGCGCAAGTCGTGACACTGCGCTCCACCACTATTCGTTGGACCGGTTCTCAAAGTTTCAAAGGAGTTCGATCTCGGATGTGAGCAAAATCTAGCTGTAGCGGTCTGAGATGAGCTGCGAAAACGCCGTGGTGGATCGCAGTCACGCGACTTCGGTCGCAAAGTATAAGCACGGATTGCAGGCCAGCAAGAAGAACGTGGCCCAGTCAGAGAAAAACTTAGTCGAACTCACCACTTGATCGAGACATGCCGCATCAATAATATCACCTTGGTCCTCTTCCATACTTACACCTCCTTTTTTCTTCTTTTTCTCGATCACCTTGAATAGTACGAAATTGGGCTTTACATTACTCTATCAGTAAAATATAAAAGCCTTTCAGAAAGAAACCAATACGTCAACAGAAGTATCAGAACAACTCTTACCCTCCTTGTTACCACAATTTCCGAAGCATTTGCCACTTGATCCTCGAACTTGGCACCAATTTGACGGCCGTGAATAGGCTGAACCGTAGCATACAGAGTTTGGAGAAAATAAGCACAAAACAATTATCACCTGCATGATCGCCCAGGGTCCAGCATAGGTTACCTTCAACCGGATAAGCGGAAGTTTTGGTTGTTGCGGTCCACGATTAGTTTCTGCCCATCGTATCATTTCACTGATTTTGTCATCTATTATCATTTCATCCTGAAATATCACACAGATCTTTTGTTTCCATAACGATGTTTAACCAATTGGACCTATTGGCTCATTGGTGTTTCAGGTCTTGTTCACGGCCACCTTCGTTGACCGGCTCTGATACTTCAGGACCAGAGAAGGCTTAAGGGCACGTTCAACAGTTCGCGGAGCGCCACATCAACCGGGCGGCGCTACGCATTGCAGCCGCCGCTTCATGCGATCTACGGTAAGACAGCCAATAGGTGATACCGTGGTATCGGTCGAGCCGGCGCCGCTTGATGAGAGTATGAGCAGAAATGAGTACGCTTGCCTATATTACACATTCTGGTATCGATTGGCCGCGAGCCATTCAGCTTTTTGAGAGAATACAGAAGAAATAGAAGGGAACCCTACCTGTTCTTGCCTAGTACTGTCATGGCGGTCAGGGCAACGGCGTAGCCATCTTATTCTTGTTATGGGCTCTATCAATAGCATTAGGCCGGCGCCGATGCGATACCCGTCTTATGCTACTGTCGTCGCATAGCACTGGAGCGCGCGCGTCATCGCGAAGCTGAGGGTGGGCCAAAAGGAAAAGCTGAGACCTCGGTGAACTCTTGGCTAACCGAACAGTGCATGGCACATTTCACGGTAATGTCATGGAAGACTTACACCCAGCCTTCCTCATTGGCATACCCGCTCTATCTGAAAGGGGAAGGGGCTTCAGCGAAGAAGGCCCAACGGCTGTGAGTCCCCATACATCTGATTGTCGCGGAAGACGTCTTCAGACGGTGCGGCATGTCAACAGCAAGTAAAATGGATGATGAACTAAACGGGCTGAGACTGACAACGGGGTCATGTAATGGGGCAAGTGGAGGCAGTGCTTGTACAGTTCCTCAAAACGCTCCCGGAAAAGTGACCAGAGCACGACACATAAGGAGTAGGACATGGTGTAAGCCATGAAAAATAACCGTGAAAACAAGCATGATAGGAACCGAACTTACACCCAACTCCTTAAGGGCATGTGAATAACCAAAGTTACTTCCGTAATATTCCGTAATGTAAATAAAGAGACCAAAACCCTACGTACCAGAACAAATCCACCTCCAGACGGTCGTACACCGTTTGCTGGAAGCCTTACTCCTTCTGGTAAGGTGTCAAGGATAATCTCGTCAACTACCATAGGACGAACTGTTTGCAGTGGGATCGGTTTGCATTGGAACTTTCTGCCTTTGACCTGAAATATCATAAAATGAGGCTAAATTACACCTATACATTCGGCTTTTTAAAATTTGTTTCACCATGATGGCTGATGTCTAGAGCAGCGCTTAGCGTTCCGAAGTTACCACAAGACTTGCTGAGTTATGGGCGATCGACTTGACTCTAGGCGGCACTCGAACCGGCAACCACGCTCACCGGGCCAGTGCCTATCTGCTCTCACGGCTATCTCCTATCCTCTCAGTTCCATAAAGTTTATGCAAAGGGTTCTGTATTCCACACGATCAGCCTTGTTACGCCTTATTTTTTCCCCAGAAAATTTGTAGGAAATGGAGGGTACCATACTAATTGCCTGTCGTCAAATCACTTCTTACCAATCGGCACGGGAGAGGGCGCTTAGGTGTAATACTTCGTGCGGGTGACAGTAATCCCAGTTTTGCACACGTAGTCGGTCCAAAGCAACGAAGGGTCAGAAAATTCGCTTTTACACCATTTTGTGAATTTTCTCGTTGGACGGCAGTTAGTACCAGAAAGTGTAAGGTAACGATTGTGAGCCAGAAGGGAAAGTAGCTCCGAGGTGGGTGAACCAAGTTTTTCGTGCGAAAAAGGTGATCAAACTCTGTGAGAAGCGAGAGAAACTAGGTAGGTTCTATTTTCCCAAATGCTTACAGTAAAAGAACATGTTGTCGTGGTTTCAAATACATTAGCTGCTCTGCTCCATCTTATTGGAAGAATCTTGCTTTTTAAGAAAACAAAAAAAAACCTTAATAAGAAAGACGTTCTTTTGCAGTGCTTCCTCCCTTGTCAACGAGGTAGCGATTGTCGAACCTGGTTGTAGAATGTAAAAGCCATCACCAGCTGCATCAGATGAAGCTACATATTGGCAATCTGAAGTTACATAGTTACTAGTAAAAAGGTAGCTTCTGAAGTTGACAGGATGCCAGCTGCTCTTCTATGAAGTACAAGC